CACAAACAGCCCCACACACAAACAGCCCCACACACAAACAGCCCCACACACAAACAGCCCCACACACAAACAGCCCCACACACAAACAGCCCCACACACAAACAGCCCCACACACAAACAGCCCCACACACAAACAGCCCCACACACAAACAGCCCCACACACAAACAGCCCCACACACAAACAGCCCCACACACAAACAGCCCCACACACAAACAGCCCCACACACAAACAGCCCCACACACAAACAGCCCCACACACAAACAGCCCCACACACAAACAGCCCCACACACAAACAGCCCCACACACAAACAGCCCCACACACAAACAGCCCCACACACAAACAGCCCCACACACAAACTCTGTACCTGTTTTAGTAGAGATCTCCAACAAACGTTGACCAGTAACGGCTTCCCATGATGATAGTGTACGCCACCGTTGTCCAGACACAAAGAGCTGCCCATGTTGACCACCTAGAGACAATGTTATTGACTTGATATTCAGATCTACACAAACTATCAGAATTTCAAATGTAAAAATATTTCGTGGTTTAAAATAACCATTTATATCCAAGACGAGGGTCTTTAAAAGGGACGCTGTACGCAGCATCGAATGGGGACATAGGGCCAAGACAAGCCTTGGCCACTACAGAGGCGTAGCGATGGGAGGGGGGGGGGGGGCAGGGGGGTACATATGTCCCCGGGCACCGACCTTAGGGGGCGCCAAAATGGGTTGTAAAAACAAATTAAAATGTCATTTTAGCTGCATTTTTGCAATTTGACTGAGGGGGGGGGGGGGGTTGAAAATCGAAAATTTGCTCCCGAGGGGGGCGCCAAATTGAAAGTTTGTCCCCGGGCGCCGGGAAGGGTCGCTACGCCTCTGGGTCACTAAGACAATTTGTGTCACGTGTTTAACATTTGTAAAAATATTTCCTCACTTTGGTCAGTTGACAGGTGAGGCAGAAATGCCTTTGTCTGAAAACCTACCTGTCCCCAATAAATAACGTTTTCATCATAGACATTTAACTCTGGCCAAATGTTCTGAAGATACCAACTAAAATCTTTACATCCAAGTTTTGTTTTCAGGGCCAGTCTCTCACTCACAGGACCAACGTCTAATGTCTGCAACAACAAATATAGGAAACAACTTAGCGATCAAAATGAAAACAATAGCCTCGTTACTTATATGGTTAGCGAGGAATTGAGCAGATTTATTTCTAAATAATTCTAAATAAGCTGGTGAACAGAAACTTACCTTCATATCAGGGTAGATGCTGTACAGAAACCTGGTGTAGTTGCCCATCTTACCTTCATATCAGGATAGATGCTGTACAGAAACCTGATGTAGTTGCCCAACTTACCTTCATATCAGGATAGATGCTGTACAGAAACCTGGTGTAGTTGCCCATCTTACCTTCATATCAGGATAGATGCTGTACAGAAACCTGGTGTAGTTGCCCATCTCACCTTCATATCAGGATAGATGCTGTACAGAAACCTGGTGTAGTTGCCCATCTTACCTACATATCAGGATAGATGCTGTACAGAAACCTGGTGTAGTTGCCCATCTTACCTTCATATCAGGATAGATGTTGTACAGAAACCTGGTGTAGTTGCCCATCTTACCTTCATATCAGGATAGATGCTGTACAGAAACCTGGTGTAGTTGCCCATCTTACCTTCATATCAGGATAGATGCTGTACAGAAACCTGGTGTAGTTGCCCATCTTACCTTCATATCAGGATAGATGCTGTACAGAAACCTGGTGTAGTTGCCCATCTTACCTTCATATCAGGATAGATGCTGTACAGAAACCTGGTGTAGTTGCCCATCTTACCTTCATATCAGGATAGATGCTGTACAGAAACCTGGTGTAGTTGCCCATCTTACCTTCATATCAGGATAGATGCTGTACAGAAACCTGGTGTAGTTGCCCATCTTACCTTCATATCAGGATAGATGCTGTACAGAAACCTGGTGTAGTTGCCCATCTTACCTTCATATCAGGATAGATGCTGTACAGAAACCTGGTGTAGTTGCCCATCTTACCTTCATATCAGGATAGATGCTGTACAGAAACCTGGTGTAGTTGCCCATCTTACCTTCATATCAGGATAGATGCTGTACAGAAACCTGGTGTAGTTGCCCATCTTACCTTCATATCAGGATAGATGCTGTACAGAAACCTGGTGTAGTTGCCCATCTTACCTTCATATCAGGATAGATGCTGTACAGAAACCTGGTGTAGTTGCCCATCTTACCTTCATATCAGGATAGATGCTGTACAGAAACCTGGTGTAGTTGCCCATCTTACCTTCATATCAGGATAGATGCTGTACAGAAACCTGGTGTAGTTGCCCATCTTACCTTCATATCAGGATAGATGCTGTACAGAAACCTGGTGTAGTTGCCCATCTTACCTTCATATCAGGATAGATGCTGTACAGAAACCTGGTGTAGTTGCCCATCTTACCTTCATATCAGGATAGATGCTGTACAGAAACCTGATGTAGTTGCCCATCTTACCTTCATATCAGGATAGATGCTGTACAGAAACCTGGTGTAGTTGCCCATCTTACCTTCATATCAGGATAGATGCTGTACAGAAACCTGGTGTAGTTGCCCATCTCACCTTCATATCAGGATAGATGCTGTACAGAAACCTGGTGTAGTTGCCCATCTTACCTTCATATCAGGATAGATGCTGTACAGAAACCTGGTGTAGTTGCCTATCTTACCTTCATATCAGGATAGATGCTGTACAGAAACCTGGTGTAGTTGCCCATCTTACCTTCATATCAGGATAGATGCTGTACAGAAACCTGGTGTAGTTGCCCATCTTACCTTCATATCAGGATAGATGCTGTACAGAAACCTGGTGTAGTTGCCCATCTTACCTTCATATCAGGATAGATGCTGTACAGAAACCTGGTGTAGTTGCCCATCTTACCTTCATATCAGGATAGATGCTGTACAGAAACCTGGTGTAGTTGCCCATCTTACCTTCATATCAGGATAGATGCTGTACAGAAACCTGGTGTAGTTGCCCATCTTACCTTCATATCAGGATAGATGCTGTACAGAAACCTGGTGTAGTTGCCCATCTTACCTTCATATCAGGATAGATGCTGTACAGAAACCTGGTGTAGTTGCCCATCCAGACGAGGGCTGCCCTCTTGTAGTTGTAATGTTCTATTTGTGTTCTTCCACCTGGGAACGTGTACGGCTGTCCTCGTGCCACGTGACCTACTCTAGAACAGGGGACATGCAGGAGTCTCCCTCCACACATCCACACCTAAAGATAATAATTTACAAATAATAAAATTCCAACACAAATATGGTACAAGAAATTGAAAACAATAACGTTATGTTTGTTTTATGAGTACTATTTGGCCTACTCTTCACCTGTTCTGACCATTACACGCCTACATCACACATAAAAAAATTGTATTACTCACCCTCCACGACATTTCTAAATTCTCCCCTCCCCAAATTTTAAAGCCAGTGTCGTATCCACCTAGCTGGTTAAAGTAGTTCCTGTCTATGGCGTAGGCAGCCCCCACCATGGCCACGCCACTGGGGAGAAGATTTCATTCGAATACAAATTTTACATGTAACCACTTCCATGTTAATAGATTTGCAATCTTTGTAAACAAAAATTAAATTTAAGTTAAATAACTTTCTATTTATTGGCAATGGAACTTTCTTAGATAACTAGCCCAATGTTGGCCTACATATTTTCAAATAAGATTTCAAGCCGCTATTTTCTTCCCCATAAGCCTAAGAATTATAATGTTTATAATGTATTTTTCCGATGTTTTCTTTTCGTTGTTTGTTTGTTATGCATCACTAAAGCGTAACGCTGTGATCGATTAAAAATCAATACTGGTCTTATTCAATAGAATATGCCAACTAATACAGGCCATAGGGCAAATAAAGTAGAGTTCACATGTTTTTGTGACTTTGGCATACAAAGGGATTGTATGATCGGCAGTACGCCCAGCCGCCTTTACTTTCCCTAATGTAAGGTATCCATCGGAGCTGGGTGGACTCAGGGAGGTTGTACGAACGGATTCGAACTCGAGACTTTCGGGTTAACAGTCGTATGTTCTACCATTCGACCACACTGTCAAAATAACGTGGTTAAAAATAATAAAAAGCCTAATGTAGAAGCAGAAGTCTAATGATATGAAACAAAACGTATTAATGACGGTAACAAAATAAAGAGAACTTGCGTACACCCGTGCTGCGGTTGTCTCTCGTCTTGTCGGGTTTGGTCTGGTCATGCCGGCCTCGGTCTGTTCCGGTCTAACCCTGCCGGCACCTGTATGTTCCGGCCTGACCCTGCCGGCAATTGTGTTTTCCAGTCTCTTATTGCCGGCACCTGTATTTTCCGGTCTTTTATTGCCGGCACCTGTATTTTCCGGTCTTTTATTGCCGGCACCTGTATTTTCGGGTCTGACCCTGCCGGCACCTGTATTTTCGGGTCTGACCCTGCCGGCACCTATATTTTCCGGTCTGACCCAGCCGGCACCTGAATGTTCCGGTCTGACCCAGCCGGCACCTATATTTTCCGGTCTGACCCTGCCGGCACCTGTTTGCTCCGGACTTCTATTGCCGGCACCTGAATGTTCCGGTCTACTCGTGCCGGTCCCATTCTGCTCCGGTCTGAAGGACAGCCTGAAGAACTCCAAGCTCCACGTCCAGCCGTACCTTGCCTCGTCCTCAGGTGTCGTGAAGTACCTGAACGTTACAGGGTCGATGAAATCTACCGTTGCCATGGCGACCACCTGTCTATCCATCGCCACTTCAGCAAGCAGTGGCGGCAGCCTAGAGCAAGCAAGAAGAAAACAAATCTCAGGTCCAGATGTCTGTTTACACCGTGTTAACAACAGGTTGCTGCCTTCATCCAAAGTGATATTTGAAGGCAACACTCACATACGATAACAACAGAGCTAAAAGCACGACAATCAACCAAATAACCGCTTTACCTAACCCCAAAAAATTTAACTCTAACTTCTACCCTGACTCGTACACATATACTCTGTCTAATGTTAACTAATGCGTGGAGTAAGCCTAGTACTGCTTTGTCCATGTACTTTCGACAATGTTGTATGATCTATAAGTTCAGAGTTCAGTCTATTCTAAATGTACATAATTCATGCCTATTCTATATGTTCAGAATTCATGTCTAAGCTGAATGTTCAGAATTCATTTCGATTATGTATGTCTTTTCTATATGTTCGATATTCTCGCTAAGAAAAAGTTGTATTTCATGCTACTAAATTTGTGACTCTGTGGTTGGGTGATGAAACAGGCACTTGCTCAAATACTTTTCTAAGACTAAAACCACGAACAACATGACTAATTTCCGTGAGTTAACAAAAACGCTATTTTTCAGTTACTATACTCTAAGAACAGCTGCCGGTAATTTTCGGTATTTTGGATATCAAATTATACAGTACAGTGTACAGTTGATAACACGTATTCTACACAAATGGCTGAACAATCAGATGCGCCTTACCAGTTAATGTTGACTTCCATATGGCTGTCAAAGAATATCAAAACATCACCACTAGCAAGTTGACTGCCGCGCATGCGTGCTCGAATTAAACCCGCACGTTCACGAATGCGTACAATATGTACAAGTCCTGCTGGAAAGTTCTCTTTTACGTACGTGTCCAAATTGTCTTTCAGTTCGGCTACAAATGCAAAACAAAACGTTTTAATTTTTTTATATAAAAAAACACAGTTATTTTAACAAATTATTGTGTTGTGTAAAGCTGCCTTATGATGCTGTAGGAATTGGAGGATTTCATGAAACTTTAAGCCCATTCTTCATGAAGAACTCGATACTTCAAGGCTTAAAACTCCCTAGAATATTTACACTACCATTACTTTAAACTACATGATTAATTTTTCGCTTTACTATTTAGAAAAAATTTCACACATTTCCGCAACAGTTCTGGTTGAGAGAATTTCTGTAATACTTTCAAAGTTATAAATCATATTATTAATATTATGCTCTAGCGAATTTTTTAAAAAATATTTCCATTATATTTAGCTCAATATTTACACCTTTCCAATACACAAGTTCAGAAATAATTTCCGTGAACTAGGTAGATGATTGAGGTATACCAGTATAAGCTGTAAGTATACCAGTATAAGCTGTAAGTGTACCAGTATAAGCTGTAAGTGTACCCACATAAGCTGTAAGTGTACCCACATAAGCTGTAAGTGTACCCACATAAGCTGTAAGTGTACCCACATAAGCTGTAAGTGTACCCACATAAGCTGTAAGTGTACCCACATAAGCTTTAAGTGTACCTACATAAGCTGTAAGTGTACCCACATAAGCTGTAAGTGTACCCACATAAGCTGTAAGTGTACCCACATAAGCTGTAAGTGTACCCACATAAGCTGTAAGTGTACCCACATAAGCTTTAAGTGTACCTACATAAGCTGTAAGTGTACCCACATAAGCTGTAAGTGTACCCACATAAGCTGTAAGTGTACCCACATAAGCTGTAAGTGTACCAGTATAAGCTGTAAGTGTACCAGTATAAGCTGTAAGTGTACCAGTATAAGCTGTAAGTGTACCAGTATAAGCTGTAAGTGTACCAGTATAAGCTGTAAGTGTACCAGTATAAGCTGTAAGTGTACCAGTATAAGCTGTAAGTGTACCCACATAATGTGCTGGCGTCATCGACCAGAATGATTTCCCTGATGTTTTCTCTGGGTGATCTGTTGATGATGCTGTACACGGTACGGAGCAGAAGTGACGGCCATTCATCGTGAAACGGTACAATGACCGAGGCTTGGCCGAGCTTTGTTGTGTCGTACTGTAGAGAGTCACACCTGTAGACAGTCATGTGTACACAATATTTTATCACACCTGTAGGCAGTCATGTTTACACAATATTTTATCGCACCTGTAGGCAGTCATGTGTACACAATATTTTATCACACCTGTAGGCAGTCATGTGTACATAATATTTTATCACATCTGTAAGCAGTCATGTGTACACAATATTTTATCACACCTGTAGGCAGTCATGTTTACACAATATTTTATCACACCTGTAGACAGTCATGTGTACACAATATTTTATCACACCTGTAGGCAGTCATGTGTACGTAATATTTTATCACACCTGTAGACAGTTATGTGTACACAATATTTTATCACACCTGTAGGCAGTCATGTGTACACAATATTTTATCACACCTGTAGGCAGTTATGTGTACACAATATTTTATCACACCTGTAGGCAGTCATGTGTACACAATATTTTATCACACCTGTAGGCAGTCATGTGTACACAATATTTTATCACACCTGTAGGCAGTCATGTGTACACAATATTTTATCACACCTGTAGGCAGTCATGTGTACACAATATTTTGTCGTATATGTGAGTAAAAATGTGTACACTATGTTTAGTTGCAGGAATAATGTGTACACAAAATTCTGTTACACATGTAGGCATATTTTTACACTTTTTTTATTACACAGTTTGACAAATGTTTGTATACAATATTTGGCCTAACCTGTAATACAGCCGTTATAGTTAAATTATGCAAAAAATAATCTCTAGCCTTTCTTACCTTAGTCCGTTGGTATATAATACTATTAATAATCCCAGTTTAACATGTTAAACATAAATGACGCAATGTGTCACAAGTTTTTACGAAAAAGGGTAACAATAGAAGTGTATCAACTACTGAATACCTGGTAACATACATGAAGATTAATTCCTTGACTCTCGCCCACTCTACCTGGGTACCAGCCAGAGCTGAACTACCAATGACTCTGGTGTTAAAAACCCTGAACCCGACCCAACAGCTAATCTGTTCCACATTTAGAAATGTTGCAAGGCTAAGCACGAAGAACGTTAGCGATAATACAATTATCATCTGGTACCTTCTAACGGAAAAGTGTCCGACTACTAACTTAGTTAACGTACCCCTTATTTCTAGTATCCGGCAACAATCTGTTCAATGGTATCGTATCACTGCCTGCAACGTTCACGGAAAACTTGGACAAAAGTTGTAAACCAGTTTCATTTTTCTCTAGCTCGATGCCAACCCCCAGCTCCCCTGGGCCGGAGATGTTGTTTTTACCGTAGTCATCAATCAGAGGGTTACCTGTCTCCCCACCCCTCCAGTATTGGACGAGCAGGGCCCAGGGGCTCTGGCTGGGTGGACGGGTGGACTGCGAGGGGTGTGGCCGTAGGGCATGGGTCAAGACGTGGTTCAACTCCACCCTGGCGCCGTGATGCTGGTGGTGCCCCGGGTTCTTGTACATCACACAGTACAGAAGCAGGAGGCTGGAGAAGGCGTTGATCAGAAAGACGGCACCAAGCCAGGAACACTGGAATGTTTTCAATGGGTACTGGAGACAGCGGTAGAGAGTTGAAAATGTTCTAGGTCTTGTCATGTTTATCTTACTTCATATAAGTCATCTCTTACTTGTTGTAGGTCGTCTTTTGTTTCTTATAGGTCTTCTCCTACTTCTTATAGGTCTTTTTTATTTGGTGCATGTCTTCTGTTATTTCTTATAGGTCTTGCCTTTTTTTCATAAAGTTCATATAGTTCATATAGGTTTTGTATCTCTTATTTCATATAGTTTTAGACAAATGTTTTAAAAATAATATAATGCTTTTACATTTTTATAAAGGTGGTGACATAAAAGATTTATTTGAAAATGTCATTACACTTTTTCTTATTAAAATATTTTTGAGAAACAAGACTTGTGCATGTCATGTAAAATATTTTACCACGTTTTTAATCCAGTTAGCTCACACAAGATAATGAAGACGACAGAATAGCACAGATCTATCCACTGGTTAGATCTCGTATGATTGTGTTGCAACTAAACATATTTTGAAATAGATTATTATTATTATAGCGAGTGTAACATCTAGATCTAGATCTAGATCTAAATTACATCTATTCTATTGGATTAATTTCACGACACCAAATATTTTAAGACTCAAAAATAGGCCAACCGGTTTCTAGTAAAGCTTGTGAAACAAAACATTCTGAAATAATGTTCGTTTTATCCATTGAAAATTGTTAAGTTTTCATATAGATCTAGATCTATGTGAATGCCTTCAGTTGAAGAACACAAATCAAAACATTGTAACTAGATCCATACATTTTTAACAAGGAACTTATTGTCCGCGCTAATGTGTGTTCACTGACGGTCACCGCCGGTGCTTGGTGTGATGTTTGATAGGTGTGAATCAGTCACGGCCGGTGCTTGCTTTATTAAGAATTTGGTTGAAGTTTGATGTTTGATGGATGTGAAATATTTCCTGGTGTCTTAAATTCCAACAAGAAATATAATTTAATTAAAAAGGTTATCTAATTTAAATTGTTTCAAAATTATGTATTAATCTGTCCATCCAATTCTTCTAACACATATTGACCGCTTGCTTATGCACAAATTGAGACGACGAAAATAGTTAAAGTACGTCACGCCTAAGTTATATACAACTAGATGTAAAGCCCATTATGATTACAACACATAGTCTGGCCAATGTAATATACACATAAAAGCAGTGCCCTTTATGATTATAAACTACATGTCGTGCCGATATAATATATAACTAGATACATTGCTGTTTATATATACAAATTAATGTCGTGTCAATGTAATATACAAACAGATGTCAAACCAATTTGAACTACACCCAGACGATTTATCACCCCTTGCCTATCTGAATACACATTAAACAGGCACTAACTCAGGAAATATAACAACAGTCAACAATAAATAAAAGTTTATGAAAAGGGTACCTGAGGTTTGTAGAGTGAACTTCAACTTCAAAACAGATAACATGCCCTTAAAAAATAGGTCATAAAACGAACACTAAGGTTTACGTAATCGTTAGCATTTCAATGTTGGGGATTGTGTTGTACAGAAGGTGCTAGAAGAATAGTATTAGCAAAGTTTGACCAGTGATTTACAAAGCTTCAGAAATTACGATTTGTAGC